TTAGCATTAACGTTATATAAATTCTGTATAAATTAATTCTTACAAATTTAAAAACCTGAGTTTGTTCGAACAAATACAGGCTCAACCCCAAACCCGACCCGAATGACTCTTTAGGAGCACTAATTTTAAGTATATGTTTTACAGGCACATGCTATTAGATGACATATCTCATGTTCAAATCGATCATTGTATGCACGACGTCATTGTGTGTACTTTTTCGAATACCTTTTAATTGTTAGTCGCACGTTCTAAATAAATCAAAAGCTGACGATCTGAATTAGTATACCTGATTTAGATCTATTTTACCTAATCCTTATTGAATTTTTGATAAAACGAAAACTTGTGGCTTTCGTATTTCAAAATATACCCGTTTGATCGAGTTTTGCTTATCTACCTTGAGATGGATTTAATCCAAAAAGGGTTACAACTATTCTTACGTATTAATTAATTAATTTAATCATTAATATGTGTATGCGCCTTTTCTTTTTATGTTCAATACCCGTGCCGCTCTTATGATTCTTGCTATTTTAAGTATGCGTGTTTAATTTATGCTATATCATGATTTTTCACACGACATTATAGACATACTCATTAATCTAAAAAACAGCTCAATAATTTATTCATTAATCCTTCACTAAAAAAAGTTCTAATCATCTAACCTAAGAAAGTAAATACCAAAGCTAAAAATATACATTTATAATTAACGTGAATAATACTATAGACTACTATGAAAATATCCATCAATTAATTATTGGATTAGTTTCTTACGATCGATAAATTATATCATTATAAATAATATCACACAAAATCTAGTCTAATACTCCTCTATTAGGGTCCTTCTCTTCCTTCAAATGATAAAATGCTTAAAAAAAATATACAATAAAAATTATCATTTAAAAATTGTACACTACTCCATAAGAAATACATGTCTCAAATATTATATTAATAGATACCAAATAACTTCTTACGATATTAAGCTATAATTTAAAGTAATGAATTATATCACAATACCCTAAATCATACTTCACCCTTTAAAACTATAATTTGAATAGTACATATCATTATTCACAATTTACGTTCCTGGTTTTGCGTGACAGCGTCGCGCAGCTACCTTATGTATTAGTTGTTAAAATAGAAAAAAGTATTTTGATAAGTTAATATTAATTAGTGCTCGGCATAATCAAACACTTGTGACTAAATCGGACATCAAACGAACCAAAACTGAATATATAGTATTGGTAGATCTGTGATCATTTGATGTCCAGCTTAATCACAAGTATTTGACTGTCAAATTTTTGTTTGATTTTGCCGAGCACTAATTTTAATCAGTAGAATTATGAATTATATATGTTAAACTGAATAAAAAAAGCTTTAAACCCAAGTTTATCAAAAGAACTAGCATTAACAAATTGAATAAATCTAGCTTTAGATACTAAGCCTCAATTTGAATTTCTTATTATTTTGCTTTTATCATAAGATTTATTAATTGTAATACAATTTTTTCGAACTTCTCTGTTAACTTGCCTCTTTAAGTGAAAAAGAGGGACCTGTACGATGCAAACAAAATTGTGTAACATTAAGTGTCTTTTTAAAGATTCATAGAATTGGTAATTCGTCCCGAATTCAATTTAATTGAAAATTTCTAACTCGATTTCAGTAATTAACAAAATTAATTTATAAATTCTATGCGAATAATCTATTACCATTTAGCATATTGTTAAAAATTCCGTAAATTGAAAGTTTATATAGACTAGGTTCAAAGCTTCACGAGACTATTTGAATCAATGGTGGCTTAACCCCATTTACGTTGCAAAGAGATATTAGCAAATTTTTTTATACCTTTTTTGCTTTATTATTGTCTAATCAAGAACAATAAACTACGCTTGAATGCAGAACTTATTTTACGGATCATAACATTTGAAGAGTACATCTCATAAATGTAAATTTAAATGACTTGTTGGAAATTGAACCAAAAAATATGCGAGATCGTGAAGAAATTTATTTTTCGATAAAGATGTATAAGTTGTTACTTACCGCGCTAAACATAAAACCAAATAATGCATTTGCATTAAGGATTCGTGGAGAAACTTATTGCATGATGAGCAAATATAATGAATCACTTGCAGATTTAAATAAATCATTAGAAATTGAACCAAATAATGCAAAAGCATTAAGAAGTTGTGCATGTACTTATTATAGGATGAATAGTTATGAAGAATCACTTGCAGATTTAAATAAATTATTAGAAATTGAACCATATAATGTATTTGCATTAGTTGATCGTGGAAGTACTTATCTTATGATGAGCAGATATGAAGAATCACTTATAGATTTAAATCACTCATTAGAAATCGAACCGCATAATGCATTTACATTATGTGTTCGTGGAAAAACTTATTATATGATGAGTAGATATGAAGAATCACTTGTAGATTTAAATAAATCATTGGAAATTGAACCAAATGATGCATTTACATTAAGTATTCGTGGAGTTACTTATCGCATGATGAATGAATATGAAGAATCACTTAAAGATTTAAATAGATCATTAGAAATTGAACCAAATAATGAATTTACATTAAGTAACCGTAGAGAAACTTATCGCAAGATGAGCGGATATCATTTGCCGATTTAAACATGACATCAAGTAATGATCAAACAAATACACCTATCTTGCCACTTGGTTTGATAATGCAGTATTGTATGTTTAAAAACAACTGAGAATATTATATAATTTATCAATCATAACAACTTGAGGTAGCATAATAAAAAAAAATTTAAGTCATTCTAGTGTGATTTAAAAATTCTTTAAAACTTAAATTATTTAATTCATTTAAATTTATTTCTTTAGAGTCAATAGAAGAATATTTTTGAAATAATTGACTCTATTAATAGAATTTAATATTTAAGCCATTATACATGTTAATTTCTAAAAATTTAAGAATCATATATTTTTAAAAAATATAATAATTTTAAAATTTATGACTATTAAGTTATGATAAATAGGTTTGTTATAAATTATTAAATTAAAAACTAATGTTAGCTTTTAAGTTTGTATAATCTTTAAATATTGCATATTTTCTAAAATAAATTTTATATTAAAACAAAAAGATAAAATAAATATAAGGAATAAGTCAAACTTTACTTTTTATAACTTAAAAATGATTAATAAAATATCAATAAAAAATACACATACTTTAATTATCTTATTAATTATCATTGTTGTTATTGATGTTTCTTACATAAACACGAACTATATAATAATAAGAATCAAACTCAAATAATTCATCTTTTGATGCTTTAACCAACTCATCATATTCATCATCAGAAACTTCTAAGGCTTCTTTCACTAAATATAGTTTAAAAGATTCATACAAAGTAGTCATATCACTGATAGCCTATTTATTTATTTTTGTGTTAAAACTTTTTTAAGAATAATTTCAAAAAACAAAGCAAATTTTTATAACATGTTACCACTTTGCTAAGTTCAATATTATTTGACTTTTCACCATGATGGATTTGTTTTACTCCTTTTTGAATATTTTCTAACTGACCTAATTTAGAGAACAATTTTAATGAATTATATAATATATAATAAAATGAAGGGTTAAAAAAAAAAAAACCTGGTTTTGTACATACCCTTCTAACTTTTGATATGTATCCCAGTCTACACCTCGTTCTTCTGACATTTTTGCAGCTTTATGAATTGGATTGAACATAATTTAAGATAATTTTAATACATATCTGCATTACATAACCATCGATTAACAAGTCCGATATCAGTGGCTTTAGAAAATTCGCATAACTAATTGAAAAATAATTAATCAAACCAATAATTACTTAAAAGAATTTACTGTATTTAGAGTTCACCAAAAGTGAGATTTACCAATATTGTACAGTATTGATTATTAATTATTATAATCTTTTAAAGCTGAAACTAAGCTTTAACATTTTTGCGAAATCGAGTGTCTTATGAATTTTATTCCCGGTTACATTAATTTGATCATATTTAGAATATTATCATAATAATGATAAATAAATACCTCCAAGAATCCACCTGGTTTCAAAATTCTGACCAATTCATTTATTATATCTGGCCACTTCTTTTGCGGATGTCCAATAAGCAAATATCGTTGAAATACAAAATCAAAAATGTTATTATTGAATTGTAATCCTTCTAGAGCATTTGCTTTAATGAGATATATAATCCAAAAACCTCAGTCAATGGATATCTAATAAAGAATTATAAAACTTTAAATGTATAACAAGAACTGTGTTAAGTCCGAGGCATTGTTGAGAATATTATACTTCAAATTTATATAAAAGATTATACTCACGTGCATAAGTCCAAAGCATAAATATCAGATACCCGATAGCCAATGATTGCTAACTATTTGTGCCAAAAATCCGATCAATATTGGCAATATATCAAAAAATATAAGAAGCATATCAGGTAAAAAAATACTGTAAATATCAGGTATCCTGATATTTATTCTTTTACCTGATATGCATCTGATATTTTTTTGACATATTGCCAATCATTAGCTATCGGGTATCTGATATCCTGTGGTTGTCATATCAAATAACAATGATGCTGCAGCACATCTAAAATGTAACATATAATAAGTGTAATTTTGCTAATTTTTTATAACAATGATAATAGTAGTAAAAAAAATTTTAATATATTTATATACAGTAATTTAGATTATTTTTTGGAGACTAATTATATTATGTCAATACATCAAAGTATTAATATAGGTTTTTTAAAATTAGATTTTTTAACACAAAAATTATTAAGAAATTAAAATCAAATTCATAATTTATTATACGAATCACAATAAATATTTTACTAATTTCCTAACGAGTACTTCTCAAATTAAAATGAAAACTTAGTGGTTTTTTTTTTATCTTTAAAATCCACTTATACTATTTAATAAAAATTCATAACCATTAAAAAATGTAAAGACTTATTATTTTTGAAATTAAATTTATCAATTTTTTTACCATGATAATATTTGCGTACCCAATATCTAGAATTTTGGATCTCAGTTTAGATAAAACATGTTCAAGGGAGCAAAAAAGTTTCTTTGCTATATATATCTAATCAAAAAGTGTTGTAAATATAATCTATCAGATTCTTTATTATTATTTGGTAGAGAATATATGACATCTTCTACATTATGATATCTTCTACTATCGGAATATCGAAATTCTGGCTATCAACCCATATTCATGTTTTTTTATGATCTAAATTTGCTTTTTGACAAACATTACGGAATTTAAGTAAAATTTGACATTTATCTAAAAAAAGATTAACAAAATTAATAAAATATTTATTATTTATTATAATTTATCAGATATTTTTTGAACTATTGATACTGAATCAGATTAAACTATGCCTATTGTTAGTGGCAACTCTAGAAAATCGCGGCTAGATGGTTGCTACCCAAAACTCACACAAAACCAAAAACAACAAAAGAAAAGACCCCACAGCCAACCAACAAGGGCCAGAGATGATTACGATTTGACAAGATAAGGCTTTAGGTTGGTTTATTGCGGGTTTAAAATAAGGGTCTTTAGGAGCAAATAGGATCTCAATACGATAGGATCTGATTCAAAAGTTTTTATTTTATTCGAATTGATTTCTTGCCCTAAAACTTGGGCGAATTACAGCTCTATTTATACGAAAATTACAATGAAAGAAAAACTATGGAAGAGAAAAATTTCATCACGCTATCGTTACTGATTCTAATACGATTTCTACTCTACATCATCCCTTTTTACGTGGGTGTAAACATCTGACTTACATGGCCACATGATTTACCTGCTTTTTCTACCTTTTATTTACCCTACCCGATAATGACATAGCCTCCTTTTATCCCTTTTGAGTGATGCTTGGTTTATTGTTTTGAACTGGGCGGGCGTCCCACAGTTCTCCTTTTAACACCTCAACCAAGAGTTTCATTGTTCCTTGGTCTTGGGGCCATCTTGGTACTGATCTTATCAAAGACGCCATCAAGATTTCTTACTGATTTTTTTAAGACTTCCCTTTACAGTTTTTTACATCTTTAAGGCTGCTCCTGGGCTTGGTGCTTGGTGGTGTTTGGGGCTAGGTTGGAAACCCAACTTTCTCATAACGATTGCTCCACGATTTCTTAACGATTTCGTGGGTCCAACGGGGGTCTTGGTCACGTTTTTGCGCCTCGTGACTTTGGATTCGACGCAGTTGGTTTAGTTGGTTTTACCACCAACACTATATTCTGCATGGCTTCTCAAGATAAATAAATCTATAGCACAGAATTTTCAGTATTGTGTGATCTGTTGTTTTCCAGTAATTTTTCATTGAATTTGTAACCGGAAATTAAATTCATTTTGACAATAGCAAACAATGAAATTAACCTAAGGCGTCAAAATTTTCCAGATTACCGTAATTTGCGGCAAATAGTACCCCCTTATTAGTGTACCCCCCACGATTTGTACCTGGGATTAATCAAGTATTTGTCACAAACATGATTGTAAAAGACCCGGGTATATCTAAGATGCAATTTATATAGTGCATGACTTCTTTTATGTCTATTTCGTTATAATTCTATTAAATGATTAGTCAACCTAATTATTCTCCTTACATAAACTCCCCCACATAAAATACCCTCCACCTGACAAAGTACTCACAAGGTACTAATCAAGATTTTGCTCCTAGGAATGTAAGAGACCTGGGTACTATTTGCTGCAAATTACAGTACTCCTCTTTTATTATCTACAACTCTGTATTCTAACTACCTCTTACAATATCTCCACTACTAATAATTTCACCAAAACTTTCTACTCGATACAACATCCTTATTCTTTCTAACCTTTGTGAATATTTTGCTTTCTGATTAATGAAATCTTCTAAAACATAATCAACTTGTTCATTTTCACTATCATGTTCTAATTCCTGATTGTGTATATGATCATTTATTTCTTCTAATCTTCTTTTTACAATCTTTTCTTCATTTTGCAAACTATAATATTTATAATTAATTACT